GACCTTGGGAAGCGATGCCGCATCTCGCTGTATCTGGATCGAGAAGGAGATCCGCACGTGCGCACGCGCCCGCGCCTCCGTTATTACGTGTTTGCGTCAAAACTTAAAGTCCTTCGATACGTGGTGCGGGCGAAGGACGCGGGGGCGCGCGTAGAGATGTGGGTCATTCTACATGCATATGCGCATAGTTGCACTCGCGGGTCCTCGGTATCCGAATGCCCCAATGACCTGGTTATCCGATCTCGGCGTGTCCTCGCCTCGTGACGCGCGCTGCGAGCGGCTCGTGCTCGCAAAATCAAGGTAAACCCATCGTGCGGACATACATTCGCGATTAGTCCAATTCTGCTCTTTCTTCTCCCGCGGCCCATTTATCTAACTCTTCCTCCTCTTCCCGCTCGGCCGTCATCCCTTTTCATTACGTTTCCAGAAAGCCTCGGTAAAGCTTCGGTAGTGTAGCTGTGCCGCCCGACACGTGCCGATCCTCTGGCATCCATTAACACATTATCAGCGGCCTCGCGCAGATTACACGGAATGTAAGCTGACTCGAATATAAGTTGCCGAACTTTTCGCGCATGCACTCGACAAATTTAGCGCCGAGTCCCATTAGTGAAAATATCGAAATGTTGATCATTTTGCAAGCAATAAAAAGTGAAGGGTTATTTTAAGAGTTTTGGGAATAAAAATGGATAAGAGCTTACTTTCGTTTTTGATGTGCATTCAAAAAAATGATCTTGCAATAATAGCTAAAATTTTCTAGGTGTAAAAAATTAACTAAAACAGATAAATGATTAGCAACTATTGTGATATTGCATATGTAATTACTTAATCAGTTTAGATGACAGAAACAGAATATATATCTGTATTGTTTGTGAACTTTAAAAAGAAAGTTTCTCTAAAGCGCCTATCTATATAAGATCAATCACGTGTTAGATCATGCAATGAATAACATTTAGCAATGGTACCTAAATTTTTCAGAAGCTATTGCTAGAACATTACTGCTATAAATTCTATATGTGACAAACAATGTTTTCACAGATACGAAAAATAGCGATACATTCTTGTTGTGATATCTAGAAATCTAACTACATCAGCGAAATATTTTTTTGAGTGTGACTTTAATGAGATTTTAGTTACAAGAGATATTTAACGCTAAAAAAAGCCGACGTACAAAGCTTGTTATGTGATGTTATTTTCGAAGCTGAATGATTTACGATCTCGCTGAGGGAAAAAAACAGATCTGCGATTCTGTTTTAAATGACGTTAGCTTCTTAATCCACTTATCCATTTCATTAGAAAGTCAGTGAGACGACGTCATTCATTATACTTTCCAAGCCCACGTGCAACTTGGTCGCCACCGATAGAACTCCGGCTATTATCTGCCGGATTAATTTAAAGCGATCCCATTTTTAAGATTATAAGTTAGTGAGAAATTCTTCTCGAAGTTGCGTGTCGAACTCGGGATCTTAAAATGATTATTCGCCACCGACATTTACTGAAAGATTTATCCCGGCCCTTTTGCAGTATCCGCACTTGACTTAACGTTTTTAACTCGTCGCTTAACCTTCTCCTAGACTTGGGTAAAGTTCAACCAGTGCACAATATCTATAAAAAAAAATAATACTGCACCTTCGTTAATTCTATAAAAAATTTATATTATTAGGAATAATAACATTGGAAGCGACGCTAAAAATCCTCACGCAACTCTTTCGTGACGGTTTTGTGACATGCGGAAGTATTTAAAAATTTATTCTCTAACAACAACTAGCGATAATCAAGATCGTTGTTTCATTGATTGATAATTAAAGTCAACCGTTATCGTCAACCGATATTTGGAATTGTAAACGCAGAGTTTTTCGAAAATGTTTAACGTGATAATTGAACGATTCGTAAAGTACTTCAAACTGAAAATTAGTTATAATTTGATTGAAAAGATTCAATTTGCACCAATTATTATAACGTTTTAATATAAAATACATACGACGTGTGAACTCGATTCAACGAAATTATTGTCAAACAGATTTAGAGCGAGAATAATGATTTGTCACCAAATCTTTTAACTACATTAATAGTTTGTTTTTTTTTTTCAATCAGCGTCTCTGCGTTGAAATGTTACTTGATGCACAAACAACTCTCCAAAATCGCCGTCTTCCTTTCTTTTTTGTAAATGAGACCTCGCTCGTTGCGCTTTTTCTGCGAGGTGAAAGCAGCGAAAGTTCGATCAGGCCATGCGTGACGAAAGAAACGAAATATTCGACATGGGCAACGGTGACATTATTAGATTCACGTCGCTAGATATTCAGGTGACGGTACCTGCACGGATGAGATAGGAATTGTGTCCGTTATAAGCAGAGTGACCTATTAAAGATATCTAATTGCGACTTCGCTTTTCCGACACTTTAAAATTGTCTCCTGTTTGAAAATGCGTGCTTTCCATTCGTCAGCTGTTAATTAAAATTATTAATTATTTATTAGCTATCACCGTGAATGCTTGCAGTTTTATTTTACACAAAGCTGTATTTTAAAAACACCGCGGACCAACGATGCAGTTATTGCGTATTAAAAGAAAATGTCATAATGGAGGAGTTAGCGTGCAGAGTTTTCGACACGAGATGCCAGAGAAGAGTTGGACTCAAGCATCTGACTCGAATAATCAGCTGATACCACATGAATAACTCCCTTTGAAGTTCAGGTCGACGAAAAGCTCTCTCACGACTTTCGCACACGCGGATTTCGAAAGGCCGTTACGCGCACTGAGGTAAAGGACCACTTCCTCTGTGCACGCCCGGTGAATCTAAAATCCCAAATCAGTCACAGAGCAAAAGTGAAGTGCGTCTTTCTCTCTCTCTCTCTCTCCCCCTCTCTTTCTCACTCTTCGGTCGCTAATGAACGAATTGTTTGGAGCGGTCGGTCGCGCCCTGTCAACTGATCGATAGGTACCGCGGTTTCGCGTGCGAATAAACTCGCGGTAATTTGCAATCGAATGGAGCTCAGAACTAGTCACTTCAGTCGCCGTTGTTCGGAAAACCGATATCTCGACATATTAGAAAATGACAGGGCAGAATTAAAATACAGGGCGAGCGTTATGAAGCGTATTGTCGCTCTTAATTGCGGCGTGTTACATGATATTCCCGCTTTTTTATTCTATTTTTGTTTAGTTATATTGAAAAAAAAAAAAGGACTAGTCCCACGCAGATTTAATGGCCAAAATAAGAATTTGAGGATACTTCATTATTCAACAATATTGTCGGTTATTTAGTGAACATAGAGCGACGTATTGTTTATTAAATATATTGTTTATTTAAATAATGATACGGAATAAATTTTCTTCGTATTTATGACATATTTCATAAATGTCCTCGCGTAAGTGGCACGTGCACAATTTCACAGCATTACTGGCCGTGGTACATTAAGCCTCTGAATGAAAAATAATCTTCTCGAAGCATGAAATTTGCAGCTTTTTTACACGGAGTCATCGACTATTCATTATACATGCGCGCGCGAACACAATTTTCGATAAAATAATGTCACGGATGACATAATAAATTACATTTATTATAAAACGCATGTAATCTAAAACGAATCGTAAACAAGAGACTTTTACAAAGCAGAGCCAACAAGATTAAAAATCACGGAAAATCAGAAATTCTATTTGCACAACAATCCAGTGTTGCTGACACACTTTTTAACGCAGAAAACTGCAGAAAATTATGCGGAAAGTCCGTGGTTCGATAAAATTCTCGCGGGAGAAAAACCGACTCCAAAATTTACATCCACCGCTTTTTTTTTTTTTCGCGCACAATCTTTTCGCGCGGCGAAAGAGCGCGCGTGAAAAAAGCGCACGTTGCCGTTGAAATTCCATTTTCACCGAAATCCGCCAGTCCACTTTCCCTCGGCGCGTTTGTAGGTTGCAAAAGAGTCTCTGCGGAAAAATTATCAAATTAGGCGACGGCAATAAATTTGCGAATCTCTCGACGCGCGCAGTTTCCTCATTATACCTTTATTATAACGCTCGCCCGCATTATTCCCGCGTTATACAGTTTACAAGCACGGCCCGGCCGGCCCAGCCTCCGGCGCGAGAATTCCCGCAATGCCAAGGGGAAGTCTCGCGTGCGGCCGGGAACGATAATGCGCGCCGCGCACGGGGTCCGATGATTTAACGCTTTAACAGCGGATTGTCGCGACCGCGTAGACCGCAAAGGGTCACGAGCGCGGTGGTTGGTCGCTCGGTCCTCTGGCCTTCCGTGTGCCGCGCACGCCGCGCTCGGTCCAGCTTCACGTCGTCGTCGTCGCTGCTAATTATTTATGTTGCGCCGATCTTCGCACCCTACCGCCCGACGTTAATTGAATTCGCGTTCGTCCCGAGGGGAGCGGACTGTCCCCGGCAATTTCGCCCGCGCACACTGGTCGAGAGTCGATGAATGCTTTGTTCAACCCTTTCGTTCGTGGCGTCCGCGTCGTAATGGGACGTCGAATTTAATGCAGTTTGCAATTTACTCGGAAAAGATGAGATATTAAGTCTCGTAATGCACGTCATTCTTTCACGTTATTATGAAACATCGCGTGATATACAAACTTGTTATTTTTACTTAAAAAAAAAAAAACATGTTTTGTGCTGAGCTAAAATTTTTTAAAACCGTGTGTATAAATAATACACATATTATTATAATAAAATTAAAATAAATAATGTTATAATGAATGTATTGTTACATCGTAAATAATGCACTTTAATTTCTTCCAACACCCACGTGCACCTTAGCTTTCGTATAATACATAAACTTTGGCGCTTTTGATCAAATAAATGGCCGGAATGATTTAATTTGAATGCAAATTGGTTTCTGGAAAAAATCTACGTGACTTGTCACGAAAAAAATGTAAAAATAAAATTTTTTGCTTTATTTTCAAAATGGTGAATCAAACACGACTAACTAAAAAAAATGTGAAAATTCTTTCTATTTGTGTAATTTGCTTTTCCCTAACAGTTTTTCATGCTTTGTCCGCAGATAAATCTACGCCTCATCCTCGTCAGTGGCAAGACAAAAGAGTTCCTATTCAGTCCGAGTGATTCCGCGGGCGATATAGCGCATCATGTGTTTGAAAATTGGCCAGAAGGTGAGTTAGTCATCGCTGCTGCGAAACTTTGCTTCGCATCAATCCATACCATTAACGTTAATATAATTGCTATAGCAGCGGGTTCTCCTGTATGATGCCACGCGCAATTATTATCATTAATTAGCAATGCGCCATCCTGTTACGATAATAGAGCGGCAAAATTATTTGTAGAATGTATTCAGAATTCATTGGGACATTCGCAACTCAAGAATTCCGTAAATTAAACAAATTTGGCAATATGAAAACAATTATTAAGCCAATAAAATTGCAGGTTTTAAGAAACATTAAGTCGATTCAGAAAGTTCCTTTGAATTTTTCGATAAAAGTAAAAAAGCGAAAATCTAAAAAAATCTTTCTTATCAACTTGATATTAAAAATATTTGAAATTATTTAAATTATATTAAACGCAAAATAGATCATTTCTCTAATTTTAATCTAATTAAAATGTTGCAGTAATTAGAAAATCACTCGATACACATCTCCTTCGTAGGAAGTTCGTCAATTCCTCGTCTTCTATCTCGCACCACTACAAACACCCTTTGCGAATCTCTTCCAATTTTTTTTTATATTCGAGAGGTCCGATACTCTCGAAAAGTTTTCGCGAACAGTTGAATCGAGCGTGGTGAGAGAGAGAGTGCTCTTCAACATCCCCCCACACACAAATGCTATCTCCGTGTTGCAGACTGGGCAGAGGAGGCGGTTGCCAAGGCGGAGATCCTGCGACTAATCTACCAGGGTCGTTTCCTGCACAGCAATGTCACGCTCGGTGCTCTTGGGCTTCCCTTCGGAAAAACCACGGTGATGCATCTGGTGCCGCGGGAAAATCTTCCGGAGCCTAATTCTCAAGGTAAATTCGCGAGATGCGCGGACCCTCTTACCGCCTCTTCCACCGCAGAAAGGAGCTTACGAAACTTTTTGCATCGCACGCTTTTTCCCCAGCACACTTCCGCTTTCTCGACGAACGTCACGAAAACAGATGTGTGCGAACTTTTCTTTTTCGGTTTCTGGCGAAATGAACTCCGTCACAAAATCATAATTAAACTGTCACCGTGAAATTGCACCACGATCTATCCGACCTTCGTCAATTTTTATACGCAATCAACGTCGTTATTAAAACTTAATTGCTGAAATTATTAAAAATTATTAAAAATAAAAATTAAATAACTTACAAACGACAAAAAAATTATTACTCACCGGAACTAAAGAGGCTAATCATTTTTTCTCGAATAAATTTTGACTTTTATAAGATTGATTTTTTTTTTATTATATATTATAATTTTTTAATATATAAAAAATATACTTATGTATGCATAATATTTTTATATAGCACACAGCTTTTGTAGGGGAAAATAGATTACCCGGCTAAGGGTTAATTCCCTGCAACCCGTATAAAAACACGTTGCGCACACTCGGCCGCACTTTTATTAATATCCAGTTATAAATCTTCACTCGTTATCGTTCTTTAAATTTGTTTACTCATCAGTCTAAACTGAATTTATCGCATCGGTACGTGACGCGCCTGCGTAATTATTACGGTAAAATCTCGTTACAACGAGCTGCCGCCGTGGATCTCCAAATTGAATTTGTTACACCGAAAGTTCGTTATATCAAGCCGCGTATTAGACGCGGAGATTCAATCACACTTCGTTACAGCGAAAATGTCGTGTTCCATCGGTATTCATTATAATGCAATTATATCGATTAGCTGTATTTCACCGCTGTTTGACGGCGATTTATACAGGGCGCTCAAGAACGCACGGATATTTGAAAAACAGATTTTCTTGGCAAAAATGTTGACACACGCACGTTGTCATGTATGTTTAATTTTTTACAGCTTAATCTTAACCAAATGAAGAGAATATGAAATTAAATGATAAAGTTGAAATGTTAGAAAAAATTCCGTGATAATTATACCAAGTGACCAGTTTTGTTAAATATTCGCAACTTTTACAGCTCAATTCATAAAAGATCTTTCACTTTTCACGGTTTACAACTGAAAAGTTGCCTGATTTTTGCTAAATTAAGCTTGCTGGAACACCCTGTATTTATCTGGTTGCATAAATTTACTCATAAATCACCGCCGCGATTGTCGTATGCGTCGCTATCGATTTTACACAAGTCACTGTGCGACCGGCAGTGAAAGCTCGAATATTCATTCGCATGATCATTCGTTTTGTCAGGTAATCGGTGATCAGTCAGTTCCTCGTTGCATAACATTATCATTAATATTCGCACGATTCTATATAATTTCGTGTAAAGCATACATTTTTACGCATTGCGACTCTGTGCATTTTCCTCGCATTTCTCCGCCGCTTCCGGCACACTTAAGCACTCATTCTCGCGAGCTTTCCCGGTGAATCAGACTTTAAATTGGTCGACAACGACAGTTTTGCGTTAACTTCATAAGAAAATCCAGCAATCTATCCTTTTTTTCCATCCTTTATATTGCGATATCAACTTTACGACGCGCGACTCGTTTACTGCTAATTATTAATCGATGTGACGGCAAGTACGACGGATAAAACGCGGGCAGGTGGTTAATAATCAGCTTTGATCGACGGAGAAGATAATCGTCGAGGAGCGACGCATTGTGCAACTTCGCAACAACACGTCGCAACTTCGCAACACAGACGGAGGTTTCCTCCTTTCTAAATTCGCTTTTTCATGTGACCCGTGCATCAGCGTAAACTGCATGCAAAGTTCACAAGGATTTTTGTTTCCGCGTGTTTTTAATAAAAAAAATCCGGTTGAAAAAAATGTGAAAAGCAGAGAAAATCAAACTTGCCTTTTCGCTTGCATTTATTAATTTATTAAATTTTTATGAATCAAGCGACAGTAACAATAATTCATCAGTTATTTATAAGCGTTATTATTCTCATTATTTATATATATTGATAAATTCTTAAACTTGCCTTTCGCTTATTGAATTTATTCTCTCAATTATATTAGTTATATTAGTTATATTATATTAGTTTATATTAATTATATTATATTAGTTTATATTATTTTATATTAGTGAAAGTATTTTACAATTGAATTCTTCATATTTTGTTTTCCTAAATTTATTCTTAGGCTACAGAATGTGACATTGATTCTGCTGTATCCAAGATATCGAATGTTGAATGCTCGATTACATCGATTAATAATTAAGCGTGATACCTATCCTCATTTGATCTTTTTAGGTATTCTACCTAACGGTGAGTACATGTTTCTGTCTGACGATCCCGAAGAATTATGACTTCAGCTAAAAAGACACCAACCTAATCCTTAAACTTACGTGAGTAAGTTCTTTCTAATCCTTATCCTCACATTTGCTTCCATTTCATGTTTCCATCAAAACGGATAAATATGTCGCCAGATGAAAAATAACACACATCGCTCAGAAAAAAATTCAATAACACTACCTATCAGCCTAAGTAGGGTCCGGCCGAAATGTATCTTTCACAGCTAAGTGGGTCCCGTATAGACCCTAATATTTTTTTATGAGAAAAGTTTAGCGGTCTCAAATATCTCGCTTGACAAGAAATAACATTATATATTATAATTTATATTAATAAAATAGTGAACCGATGTCTTTCTTTTATGGGCGAGCGTTAAGAACGTTTTCGCACACAGTAAATTCAATTAAGTCAGATAAGATTTATATAAAACAATTTTTTAATATAAAATATAATGTAGATGTTGATGAAAAAATAAATCCTTTAATTAAAAAGTAAACAAAGCAGAGAAGTGTATCGAAATGTCGGTAATTTGATTATTAATTATTTGAATGATATTGCATAGGTCATTTTATTAAAACGAAATTATCAATTTATTTCTCAAATTAATGTTAAAATCTTCCTCATAAGCGCGAAAATAATTATTAAATGTCCGAAAGCGAAAAATATCACAGCTCTGTGAGATCCCGCATTTAGCCTGTAAATAATTTCTCAATTGTAATCGTCGCCGAGTTATTTTATACAGAAACCTAAATGCTCCTTCGCGCTTCCAACCCACACAATATCAAAATAGGCACACGCATCACATTCATTTTGCACGCTCAGATTTCGCAACGCGAAAATCATCGAAGGCAACGTCGCCAAGGGCGAGCGATTAAACCGCACGTACACTTCTGTTGCAGATCAGAGGCAAAAGAGTAAAGGCGGCGGAAGTAGTTGCTGCTCGGCTTCCTGCTGCATACTCTAAATCGTGCCCCCCCTCGGGTGGGTCTCGCGCGGATGGGCGTGCGACATGGGCGAGCGCGGGTTCACCCGAGCGCTGAGCCATGGTTTCTAAGATTTCATGCTGATGTATAATCGTTAGTGGCTGAGCTCATGAGCAATGTAGCACGAGAGAGAGAGAGAGAGAGAGAGTGAGTGAGTGAGTGTATCAGGCTCACGCGGTGCCTGCTGAACAACCGAAGAGCGATGCGGTCTGCGACGGTGCGTTTCGCTCCCCAGCGGATGACACCTCGTTGCATCGGCTGGGGATTTCGGTTCGGTTAGTAGGCGGTAATGCGTGCCCGATCGATACGCACTCGCGAGGAAAATCTGTCTCGGCAAGAAGAGCGGACGGGCGATGGTACTCTGTTACGAACGGACGGGGTCGGATCGTTGCCGGCTAGTTCATCGAGATATCTCCGGCCGTAGTTGCGCCGATAGCGATGGTTTACTAACTCCGGTTAATGATGTTACTTTGGACGTTACGGCTCTTGTGATATACAAATGAACGTGAAAAGGATTTGATTAGTTCGCCAGTTTCGTTGACAGCCTTAAGCAAATTTTAGATAACTATTCCTAACTTATGATTGTAGTTGTAATGTCGCGAAAAGAAGGAGAGAAAAGGGTTAATAATTATTCGTAGAGTTAGTTGATTGATTTAACTGAATTTTAGTTAATGAGTATTCAATAAATTTAGTTAACCGCGCCGGTTGACTGGTTTTCGCCCAGCGATGTTTCTCCATACATTGCATCATGTGCATTATTATCATATAAAAGAAACTATCATTAATATAATTAGTAATCTTAATTGAATTTTATTAGAATATTTTTTTTTCCCCTAGATTATATAAAGGTAACTATAATATTGATGAGAAAGAATAATAATCGTAAATTTAGTTAAGAATTAACTAGTTAATTAAACTTTTTGTTGTTTTTTAATATATAATTACAGCCGTAATCTGAAAGAAGGACAAAATATCAACGAGTAAAATTTAGTTCTTAACTAAATTTTACTCGTTGATATTTTGTCCTTTTTTTAGATTAAAAAACGAAAAAAAGTTCAATTAATTCGTGATCAATTTCAGTCGGTATCTTCGATAAATTCTATTTCTGATCTAAATTAATTTAATTCGATTCTCTATTTTTAGAACTAGAATCGGAGGATTCTAGGAAAGTTATACGCGTCGGGTAATTTTAAATATCCTTTAGTTAATCGCAGTTAGCACTCACTCGGCGTCGGTGCGACCGGTAACGAAGATCGAGAAGGGTGAAGCGAACAATTGTTGCGAATATTTCGTAATTTCGTTTATGTTCGCCCGGTATAAGGAACTCATGCGAGCAAAACGAGTAGAATTTCCAGGGGGGAAGAGAGAGAGAGAGAGATCGGGTGTAACGAAAGCACGCTACACGCGCTATGGTTCTGAGCGTGCATCCGAGACGTACCCTGGAACGGCGCTACAATGCTTAGAAACTCAACCACTAATCCCAGCGTTATAATAATTACGTAGGCGGGATCGTGTGCGTGCTTGCGTAAGTGTGAGTGCATCGCGTTTGAATGTAAGAGAAAAAGAGAGACAGAGGGAAAGGAAGTGCGCGAAAGAGCGAGAGAGCGAGAGAGAGAGAATCGAAGAGAGAATAAAATTTATGT